AAACAGAGATGGGCTTAGATAATGTAACTCGTTACAGAAACTCAGAGAGTTTACTTTTGTATATAATGATTGTGACTATTTCTTGGCATAACCTCTGTTCTGGAGAGTCTTGTTTTTATGAGGAACTGGAAGATTTGGCTGCTGCTGTATTTGAGCCATTGGAGCAGCTCACAGCAGAGTATAAAGATTATTTCTAAACTGAAGCCACAGGCGAACAGTTCATAGCATCAGCTGTGAGGAAGGTGCTTTCTGTGTCCAGTAAGTCTCTTGGCCCTTCAAGTCAGCTAAAATGTACCACTAGGGATGTGACAGAAGTTTTCTATTAAAGTGTATGACCCAAAGTGCAATTGAACCAACCCAAAAGTCACTGTGCTGTTTTCTTTATTCCACAGCACTTACAACGAACGTGCAAATAGTCCCTTTGGTGTTGTGATACAGAATCACAGGAAAACTGGTCAATAAAGATCTTCGATGTGGGATTCATCTCATCTATCTTTACCTGCTGCAAACATCTAGATCTTTAGGCTCCCTGAGTGTCCACAGGGTCCCTTCTTTTGTTAATGAGATGGTCAGCTAAACACTGTGGGTTACATTTCTCTCCAGTGTTGCCTGACTTCTCAGCTGACGGAGCCTAGACACCGAGCTTCAAATAAACCCCACCCCAGATGTACACTTGTTGACTTTGGCCCTGTCCTGATCAGCCTCAAGTAATTTTCTGTATTTCTAGTAAATGGGGAGTTACTCGCAACGTACGAGAAACCCAATGAACGTGCAAGGCAGATAAAGTCTTGATGAGGGAATACAAGGGAAATCCTCACCTGCTCAGTCATTTTTTACCTTAAACACTGGGGTTGTGAGGTTAGAAGCAAAATGAGTGGAGTTTGTAGGGCTTAAGAAATGAGGACTAAGTTTTTATGCATACCCCTGACCAGCCAGGGAGAGGCCGAAGCTACTGCTGAGTTTTTAGGACATACATCTTGGAGACACCCTTGTGAAAAGCTTCTTCTTGACTAAGTTTTACATGGTGGAAAAGAAAAACAGTCAAGACAAAAATCCATGTTTCAGCTTTGTGATTTTTTTCTTGTTGTTGTTTTTTTAATGGTTTATTTCGAACTATTGTTTTCTTTTCACAGCTGCTTGCAGAGGACTGGCCCTTCGGTGTCGAAATGTGCAAATTGGTACCCTTCATTCAAAAGGCATCAGTGGGCATCACAGTGCTGAGTTTGTGTGCCCTCAGTATAGATAGGTAAGACTCATTTTTTCATCAAAATCTATAATTTCTTTTTAGTACGGACATTGGCTCAAATTTGCCATTCCACTCAGCTGGTATAATACGAATAAGCTGAGTTAAGCCAGTTACCCCAGGTGGGTTTTCACATATTTTTAATTTGCAAATGTGTGCTGTTGCTTCAGGTACCGAGCAGTTGCTTCTTGGAGTCGCATTAAAGGAATTGGAGTGCCAAAGTGGACTGCTGTTGAAATTGTACTGATCTGGGTTATATCAGTGATATTGGCTGTTCCAGAAGCTATTGCATTTGACATGATTACGATGGAGTACAGAGGAAAGGATCTTAGAATCTGCCTGCTTCATCCCACGCAGAAAACATCCTTTATGATGGTAAGACACTGACCCTTATAAGATCTCAGGAACAGTTCCTTGGTTATTCGCAGTGTTGTGTGGAATGTAATGTGCACAAATATAGTTGAATATAATGTTCAAATGAAATACAGATTTCTTAAATCTATTGGTTAAAAGAAGATCATTCAGAAACTTCTGTCTTTCTGGGGGCTTTGGGCATATTTACTGTCTTGTTCTGTTTTCTCATTTGTAATGTACACCTTACAGAGATGCTTTTTAGGACAGACTGACCAATTAGTTGTAGCATACTTTCCAGAATGCTCAGTATTCAACTCCTAACAATGCTTTTGCTTTTTTCAAATGAAATACAGATTTCTTAAATCTATTGGTTAAAAGAAGATCATTCAGAAACTTCTGTCTTTCTGGGGGCTTTGGGCATATTTACTGTCCTGTTTTCTCATTTGTAATGTACACCTTACAGAGATGCTTTTTAGGACAGATTGACCAATTAGTTGTAGCATACTTTCCAGAATGCTCAGTATTCAACTCCTAACAATGCTTTTGCTTTTGTTTTCCTTCTAGTTTTACAAGCAAGCCAAAGACTGGTGGCTGTTTAGCTTTTACTTCTGTTTGCCACTGGCTATCACAGCATTTTTCTATACTCTCATGACCTGTGAGATGTTACGGAAGAAAAGTGGGATGCAGATTGCTTTAAATGACCACTTAAAACAGGTAAAGATTTCTCCCTGACAACTCTCCTGACTGTAGAGAGGATGACAATAATACCTTTACTGACTTTAGTGCCACGTCATTATTCTGTTCTTGCATGATGGCTTTCAAGATTACTAGTGAGGAGAAGTTTTGTAGCAATGGTGCTGCTGAGTTCATATGTGTGTGTGTCTGTGTCTGTATATATGTATATATATAAATATATCACAGACCTCAGAAACCTAAGATTTTAACTGATAATTACAAAACTGTTTTTTTCTCATTTGGTGTTAATCCTTCAGGTTTTACAATTTTTATTTCCTCTTTACAGTAATGGGAGCTGGATTTTTTTGTAATGAAAACTGAAGTCGTGCTGGAATCTAAAAGCTAGTGCTATGAAATTGTTAATTATTTTGAAGCAATTTCATGCTATAGTAAGGTTAGCAGAACAAAACACATTCCAAAATACGTTCCAAGTTAATGGTGCACCAGACACAAACTTCATATGTAGAGTTAAACTACATTTGTACTATAATGTATATTTGTGCTTCTTTCCTCTCACCTCGTTAGAGCTGTAATTGAAATCTCTTGGGGCTTTTAAAATAAGATGATATCAAAGCACAAGAAAATACAGTTGAAAACAAGCTGGTGTTTAGAAGTTATTGGTGCTATGAATATGTTCTTCATTTTAATTTAAATTACTTTTCATGTCATTTTTCATATTATTAGTCATACTTTTAAAAATTAGTTATACAGAGGATCGGTGCAAGACGTCAAAAAATAGAAAAGATTAAGTACCTATTCCAAGAAAAGAAGTTATTTGATGTTCTCCTAACTCCTATTTTGGTAGGGTTTTTACTTTGTTTATTAAACATTTAGATATTGGAAGACAACAACAATCCAGAGAGAGACACAGAAACTATAACACTGTTCTGTCCAATTTTCTTTTTTCAGAGACGTGAGGTGGCCAAAACTGTGTTCTGTCTGGTACTTGTTTTTGCCTTGTGCTGGCTTCCACTTCACTTAAGCAGAATATTGAAACTAACTATTTATGATCAGAAGGACCCCAACAGATGTGAACTTTTAAGGTGAGACTGCAAAGACACAAATTCTGTGACACTCTCCATAAGCATATTTAGATTTCCTAATGTAGTAGCTTACTCTGTGTCTGAAGTTCTCCCTGCTTCTTCATCCCGGACAGTCTGGTTTCACTCCAGTAGCAGAGTCAGAAAGTTATGAGGAATCCCCCTGTTTGCCCTGTCTTCCTCCTGATCCATTTTGGGATTGTCCTACTGTCTTATGGCATTATGAGGGCAGAGTGGCAATTTCTGTCCCCGTTTTCCCTTTCAACAGAACAGCTAGGATTAAATCCGTGAAGAAAACCTCGTGAATGTTTTCTCCCACAAGTCAAGGTGGTTGGATCTTCTGAAATGACTTTCCTGGAAATGGTGTACTGATTCAAACTTTATTATGAAGCACAACTATTACCTCCATGAGTTAATCCTGTTGATATAAGCCCCTTTACTATTACATTTAATAGTTAGTCTTTGCTGAGTGAAGCTGAGTCCAGTTTTCATAGTTGTACACCTCTACTAAGCCTTTTCAGAGAAAATGAGAAATGTCTCACTTTAATTTCCACACAGCTTTTTTCTTGTGATGGACTACATTGGCATTAACATGGCTTCACTGAATTCCTGCATCAATCCGATAGCTCTGTATTTGGTGAGCAAAAGATTCCAAAACTGCTTTAAGGTAAGAGGCTGCTGGGAGCTGCTCCTCTGGTTAAATGTGATGTCAACAGTAAATTTCACTCCTTAACTTGCACAAAGTGTTTTAAATGGTCATTAGATTTTATTTAAAATTTTAACTGGGTTAAGGTAGGTGTTCTCTCCCTCTCCTACCGGAGCTACATATAAAGGAATTATGGATTCATAGGGACAGAAAGAGAAGTCAAGGGAGGAGTGTACAATAAAGCCTCTCAGCACCATGCTAATCAGTGCTACATCACTTCCTGACTGGAGCTGGCACCCAGCCACTTCCAGAGCACTGACAAAGCAGACTCAGACTGCGCTGCAGAGATTCACATAGCCATATCCTCTGCAACCCAACGGAGAGGGCGCTGACCCTGGGTTCCCCCCATCCTGACTCAGTGCTTAAATCAGTAGGCAGTTATGTAAGGCAGAGGGTGCAAGCATCCACTCATCCCTTTCCAACGCTATCGTTTTATGAGACAGGCCTGATCATAGTTTTGCCTTGGTTTAAGAGAACCGTCCTGGGCACTAATGCTCCACGCAGGATTTGAAGCTCTGGATCGCTTGTGGATTGCAGCCCATCAGGCCTTCAACCTTCACGGCTGCTCAGAAAATGTCCAGATTTGAGCTTCTTTGTGGCCCCTTACTATCTTCAGACACTGTCTCAGGGTCCTTACATTGCCTACCACGTTGGATTTTTCTTTTCTTGCCAAACATTTCACCGTTGGTCACTGCTAGGCTTATTGCCTGGCTGTGTAAATGCCTTACTGGCTGTGTGTTTCCATCAGAAGCCAGTCAGCTCTACATCGAGTAGTAGATGTACGGGAATTGTGACAGCACTTGTTGCAAAGGCTTTAGTGTCGGTCTCATCTTCCCCCTGAAAGAGTCACTGGAGCTGAAACATGTAAGAGATCTCTAGCATCATGAGCATGAAATCGAGTGGGTGTGCGGGATCCCAGATGGACTTCCAGCACCCAAAGGCCAGTCAGTAGCATCAGCAAAAGGTCTACAGTGCATCTAGTAAATGTATGAAATATATGTAGGTTTTCACCATTCTTCTGCTTAGTTGTCCTCCTCCCACCCCAAAAATAATCAACTAAATACCAGAATCTTGCTTAGAAAGTACGAATTACTGTGCATATATTCCTTTTCTAAGAAAGATTATCAGCGAAAGGACAACAAGGAACTGTAATTTTATTTTCAGATGCATTTAGAATTGCAGACCAGGTCGAAGCGGTATGTGTGTGGCCATTATTATATATAACTCAATATACTTTTCCTGTCCTTCAGCGCTGAGGTGGCTAATGAGGCATCCCAGTAAGCAATGCACAACTTAACCTCTTTTCTCTGCTTCTGCTGTAATCCCAAGATGGCAGCTTGCATATTTGCGGTTTCCTACTGTACCGCTGAAGAAGGGCAGCTTTCTCAGTGTGCCTTGCCACACGTGCAAAAGAAAATGATGTAAAACGTTTATTCCTTTTATTTTAACAGTCATGCTTGTGTTGCTGGTGCCAATCCAAAGATCTGTTGTCCCTGGAGGAAAGGCAGTCCTGTTTAAAGTTCAAAGCTAATGATCACGGATATGATAATTTCCGCTCCAGTAACAAGTACAGCTCTTCATAAAACAAGCATAAAAAGGTATATTCTCTTACATTAATACTGGTGCCTTTTAAAGTAGAAGTGGCAATTACTTTTACTGAGATGGTAACATCTAGTTTTGTGTTTGCACAAAAAAGAACCTTAAAAAATATGTTTTTAAAACCAGCACATGCTCCCAGACCGTGTCACATTGAAAATCAGAGACTTGTATAAAATCGTCATTTATGGAACATGAAGAAAAGCGTAGAAAGAAGAAGTCATTGTTAGCACTTGAATACTTCTGAATCAGCACTTCCAAATGATCCCCACTTCCTGTACATTAAACAATCATTTGTATTCGCTGTAACAGTTGTAGGAACTGAAGTCACAGTAATTGCTAAGCATTATACTATAATGTTAATTTGATCAAAGTCATTGGTATATATAACTCCATGTATTGTATTGTCTTTTATAAAGCAGATTAACCACCATCACTATTGCATTTTTTTAAAAATAAAACATGAACTATTTTGTAATAGAAGTTTAAATGTAAAAATGTAGAATTTTTATCAGGGGTATTATAGAGGTAGTTAATGAAGATATTAAAGGATGCAGTCAAGTCAAAAGTGTGTTTCACTTTGATTGTTTTTAACTGTTCTTGTTAGAAGGAGCCTCCCTGTTTTTGTTAGAAGGCCTTTATAAATACAATTCTGTGACCACTATGTGTGCTCAGTGCATTTGGCAGCACTTTAAGCATAGTCCATTTCACCGTTTCCACCTGATTCATCATTAATAACAGTGGAGGAGAGAAAAAACACGCCAAAAGCAAAAATTAATACTGCTAGAACCACACAAACTATGGCTAGTATTGGAAACCAGCTGGTTTTAATTGATTACAAATTGATTGTATGCCGTGTAAACAGGGGGCATTCAAGAGCCTGATGGTTCATTACTGAAGATACTTTTGTGACTAATTGACAACTGTTTTTGCAACTTAAATATTGCCTTGGGGCAAAATCCTTTAGAAATAGCAGGTGGGAAAAAAACGTGTAGCCAAGTGAAACAGAGGGAGTTGAACTTTTATTTTAATTCAGATTTAATTCTTTATAAAGAAAATAATTCACGAACTGTACTTCTAGAGAACAGTACTATGTAGCACAGTCGAGTTCACACTTTTAAAATATGTTCTACTTCTGTAGTTCCATATTTATGGGCTTGAGAAGACGTGTGATTAGTTTCTTCTTCTGTAAATAGTTTTTTAGTGAACCATAATTAATTATAAAATATTAAAATATGGGCAGGACCCTGTAAGAAAACAGAAAGATAAAGATGCCTGTAGTAAACATGATGTGTGTTGCCAGGAGCAATGCACATTTTGTACATACATGACAGGTCATTCTTTGGCTTTTCATTTCCTATGAATTTGTTACAGATGTCCCCAAAGACTACTTAACATATTTTGTGCACTAGGCCATGAGTTTTCCAATTAAAAAATTCATATAACATGCTTTTATAAAAGACATGTTTTCAATAGGCATGGTATTTTATTATAATATTTATCAAAACTCAGGAATTTTTTTTTTTTAATTTTCAAATTTCACATATAAGGATTTTTACTTTTCCAGTCTTGATTAACTTCAGATTTTTTTCAATAAAGTGCCTTAACTATGCTCAGGATGAAAACAGTTTTCACTAAAATGTTCAGCTGATGTGACCTTAGATGGGTTTCATCTCATCTGACTTTAGGTAGCTACAGCTACCTTGCAGACAACTAAAAACAAGAGAGAGGAACCCCGTTGCTGGCGTTGCCCCCATCAAAAGCTAGTCAGTGTATGCTTGTATAATCAAGCTGAGGACCTCTGCACATGCATTTGAGCATGGGCATGCGTGTGTTTGTGTGTGTGAGTACGTGTGCAAATGTGTGCATTGTCTACCCTTAGGTTGCTGTTGCCATCTTTCTGCAGGCCATGCACCCAACTGCTATAATGCTGAACTTTTATAAATACAAGTCTATTTAAAGTTTTGTTCTTCACATTTTTACCTTAACTTTCACAGTAACTTTCTCATGGTAAGCTGTGAAGAACACTTCATTTCACCCTGCCTGCATCTATTTCTGTGAAATGTGTTTCATCTGTTAAGGATGGATAATCAGTTAAATACTAATACTGACCAGTGTTACGTTCATCAAGTTATATCGTGACAATATTGTACATGTATATTATTGTTGTTTTTATTTAAAACATAGCTGTTGTATTGGCAACTGTGTAACATTTTTCGTTTTTTCCTGGACTAACTCTTTTTTAAGACAAGGCCTGATAAGTCAGACACTTAGATTTTTTTTCAAATAAGGACCATATACACTGCCCACTTTTTGGAGTTAATATATCTGTATTAGTACACTTTTTGTCTTTTTTCAGTATTTTTAAAGCAGTATTTTTATTGAAGCTTTCACTTTCTGTAATAAAAATTTTCAAAACTTCTGATCTTACACAGTTTTAGCTAAGATGAAGTCTCTTAATACTCAACACAGGCTTTTTCTAAAGTCTTCAGTACAGGTCTAATCCTCCATTCACTGAAATCAATGGATATTTAACCTTTCAATTCAGTTGGAGCAGAATTAGGGCACAGCAACAGCTCTTTAAAAGCCCTATCTGATATTTGCTACCTTGAATAAAAAAAGTTAAGTACTTTTTTTTTGACAAAGGAGTTGTTTAGGAAAATTAGGCAAAGAGGGTAAAATCATCTTATGGGGTAAATCAGCTCTCTAAGCCTCAAACGGGGTCACAGGTAGCAGAACAACTGCAGAAAGGCACATGCATCTTTATAGAAGTTCAATGTGCTTGCCCAGAGTGGTGTGACAGAGTAAGAGTCGCCTGTCCCAGCGGCCTGAAGGGTTGGCAAAGAAAGGCTTGAGATGAAAAAAATAACTTGTGAGAAACTACATCACTGTGTTTTGACCTTCAGATTGTAGTTAGATTTACTTCCCCAGCTGCTCGGAGTTCTGCCTGCACACAGCTCTCTTGGAGTGGAGAGGGCATTTCAGACTGGGTAGACTGAACTGATACACTGGTACTACACCTCAGAGAATCAAATGCAAAATTTGATGGTTATGGAGCATCTGCTGTGAGCTGTGGCACTTCAGTGTCCCAAACAGTTCTCAATACATGGTTGACTTAGCAAAAGAATGTTGTATGTACTGAAATAATGTTAAAAGGATTTTAAAAAATTGTTCTGTATAGCTTTGTAAAATAATTCTGTATTTCATTTTCTGTGGTCACTTAAAATAACAACTTCTGTGTTTCAGACAGTGTAAACATACTAAATTGCCAATAAAATATTTGTAATTTTGATTCATTACAAAACAGGCGTCTGAACTTTTTTTCTTCTAGGGGTTCCCATTTAATTGTTAAACAGTGACTGTGATGTAAAAAAGAAGCAATTCAGAACTAAAAATCAAAGATCTTTGGGTCGGATGGTGTTATATAGCTAGCTGAAAATTGGAGAGAGTTCAGACTTGCATACGCGTTGCAAAATTCTCTGATGCTTGTTGGAACCATCCGTCATGGCTATCTTTTCTCTGTTTGGTTTTGCTCAAGATGTCAGCTGCCATCTCTTCTCCACACACCCATATATAGTCACAAATCCCCCTGTGTTAGGGACATCACAAATAAAAGGCACAAAACTTTTAGTTCAGAAGTGCATGCACTCGATTCTGGAATATGCCTCATGAAAACCATTATCTCTTGTATGCTGATGGTGTGTCAGACTAACTATGCTATAGCTGGTCAAAGATATAAATTTATATGCTTTCAGTAACACATCCTAAAATGTGTTTGCTGCTACTGCTGTTTCATTCCACATAACAAGGTTTCCTTCTGTTTATTTGGTGGCCTGCTGCGTCCATGTACATCTGTCTTTTCTCGTGGTCTCAGGCCTTTTAGCACAGAGCTTCAAGTTTCCCGTGCCTGGAACAGAAGCACCTGTGGAGATGAGATCCTTGTAAGTAAATGTTCTACTTAGTATCTCTTATGGCCTCTTCACTTCCTTTCCCTTTCATCATGCATTTAGTTGGGGTTTTTTTTGCTGTTGCGGGAGAGTGAGAGTGTTTGTTGCCCTTCTACCTTTCACAACCCTCTCTGTGAAGAAAT